GATCATTCCTTAAAACTAAATACATATGTAAAAATTGGCACCATATATACTTTATTCTAATGTTTAAAAAATTTACACACAAGACGCGTTCTTATGTTATGTATGAATTTTGTGTACGTAGACATAGCATTTTCCCCTTTAAAAAAAAAAAGCACACAACAAAATTGTTTGTGATAAGGCGAATAAATATTAAAATTTGCATTTTATATTTTATATTATGTTGTTGTATTGTTATTTTTTTTCTAAACATATTACTCGTATAGCCAATTTATTTACAAATATTTATATGTCAATGTCAACATTATAAATGTATATATACATATGTAAATAATACATATGTATATTTTTATGTCAAGTATTAATAAAAAAAAAATTTATGTGATCAGAGCATAACCGACCGCTATATCGTCTAGTTTAGTGAAAACGTTACAGAAGATTATGAAAATGCATTTTGAACACTTTCATTCAATTTTAAGGGAATTAGCAAGCTTTTAGCTAACATATCTAGAAAAGTTCAAATTTGGCTATTAGTAGAGCTTCGCTTTGTGCCACTCGAGCTTCCTGAGAAGTTCGGTAACAACCAGAACTCAAATACTTATCAAATCAACAAATTCCATCAACCCGTTCCGTAGATATGGTAAAAAACGTAAAATCGATCCCAAACCGAAAACTCGACATTCAAGATTTAGTGCCATCACGTAACATAAAGCAATTAATTTCAAATGCGAGATCAGTAGAGTTCGTTTCTGTTTAATTTCGTTTAGAATTCAGCAATATAATTATCATTGCATTTGTTTTCCGCTCTATAAGTACTTTATAGTATTATGTAATATGGCTACTTAATTTAAAGTATAATTAGTCAAATACTACTGTGAAATATTGTAAAATTAGTCAAATACATACAGTTTCCTTGCTGTCAAATATTTATAATAGCGAAACTTAACATTAAATTTACAATTAAATTGAAACTGTTTCTAGCTTAAGGTTAAAGGAAAGTTTTAGAAAACTTTAATCAAATGCAATATTAAGAAATCAACAAATTCAAAATAACCTTTAAAGATTTTAGTTAATATAGAAGGACGCCCAATATACATAGCTATACGGCATTGTTGAAAAACATCTTGAAAAGATCTTTCAAACAAACAGATTCGTTTGAAAAGTTCCCCGAAAACCAGCTTTGTGAACTGCCATGTCTCAAGAAAAACCTCAAAGAAAATTCTTGAATAAATAATGTAGTAATAAAGTAGTAAATAATGACAATAATAAATTTTTCGGTAATAATAAGTGATGGATGTTATAAAAAATCTTTAATTATTTAATAATAATTATCAAATCGAATGTTTAATTATTATACAAAATAATTTAATATTTCAATCACAGAAGAATTTAGAATATCTTAAAGCAAAAAAATTTAGCAAAGGAACAAAAACTCAAGTAAAACAATGTAGTCCAACTACAATGACAACTTTATAATCATTTAATAATGCTAAATAACAATAATAATTGCAAAGAATTAAGATATTCAACGTACATACCTCTAAATTTTCTTCAGAATAAAATCCACACACAAGTTCTAAAACAGAATTTTTTGACATGATTTTAATTTGATTGTTGTTTTTTACTTTCAATATAAAAATTCAACAAAAAAAAATTGTTTTAAATTATTTTTAAAACATACATACTTATGTATGTATAACATTTAACAAAATAACTGCAATTGCACTTTCTGAAATTCTATTTTAAAAATTTTTCTTTGATTTTTAATTATTTAAATTTTTACTTCAAATATTGAACAAATTTTTTAAGCTTTATTTTATGCATAATAATTACATTAATAATGATAAAAACACTGAGTATAATAATTTATATAAATAAAATGATCAAAACTATTTAATAATTTCCGCCAGCGGAGATAACAATAAACAATAAAGTAATCAAAAGTGACTAAAATAACAATACAAGGAATGCGACGACGAGACTCGATACGATATCACATGTGCAAATGTTCGAATTAGACTAAAAAATAATAATAAAAAAAAGAAAAGAATGACTTATGGCGTGTTTGTGCTACAAAAACGGAATATGTACTTAAATGTGTGCATGTATTGATATATGTTTTTATATATGGATATACATTTGAATAACATCCAAAACAAATATTTAAATTTTCTTCACGGTTTGAAACTGGCCTGATAACATAAAAATAGTACATATGTTTATAACAATAGATGTATCTATGTACTAAAAAAAATTAAAAATAAAAATAACATTGTAAAGTCCCTCAAAAAATTATGATAATAACGATAATAATGATGAATTCATTTAAAAAATGAGGAAATTGAAATTTGATCATGCCATCTATAAGAATTATATTTTTGAAATTAATTTGAAAGTTGGTTTTATAAACAATTAACCAGCTTTGACTCTAATAATTGTTATAAAATGCAATGGGGAAAATACATAAATCGCTAATTATTTGCTCATATTTTCTTTGTTCTATTTATTGGACCGTTTCAATTGGGGGTACTTTGTGTCCGCGATTCATTTACTCTGCAGTTTTATGAAAACATTATCTGTTTCTTTCTATTTACTCTACTTAAAATTTTTGTGTTTTTATAAAAATTTCAAGATTATAAGCAGTAAAAGTCTTTATATACATACAACATGAACTATTCGGAATGCTAATCTGAACGACATTCTTTGTTTATGCTTTTTTTTATTTAAATTTTAAAATTATCTGCACATTCTTGTACAAAAAAAAAATATTTTAGAAAAGCAATTCAATTCAGTGTATGTATTTACAAATTTACAATGCCTTATGAATTATGAATTGTTATTTACTAACAAAGAGGAAGAAAATGTAAAAAAAAAGATAAAATAAACCATCAATTTCAATATTTATGCATATGTACAGAACTATATGTACCTACATAATAAAACATAGGCTAGCTGAAAATTTCTCAGGTAAAAAAATTAGGAATAGTAATAATAATGTTTTAATATACGTGTGCGTGCAAAAACTTTGCCTATCCTTTAGAAAACTTTCACATTTCTATTATAAAAATAAATTTTTGAAAAAAAAAAAACTCTTATTATTTGTTTCTTAGAAAAATATTGCATAATTCCGAAAAAGTTGTCGCCTATATCGGTAATTCATATTTCATTTAGTTATTTATTTTACTTTCAATTTGAATTTTTAAATAAAAAATGCGATTATTGTATTGCGCTATTATGGATTTTTCTATTGCTCTTAAAATAGTATTAGTTACCCGTTTTATGAAAGTTTTCTTTGAGCTAAAAGAATTAAACGTGGTTATGTTTCAAAAAGGATTACAAATTCTTTTTTTAATTATTTACCGCAATTAATAAAATTTAATTTGACAAAATTTCGGTTATTAGTATATTTTTTGTTATTAATGGTCTCAAGTGTATTAAAACTGTAATTTTTCAACCAACCTAGCTTTTGTTTTTATTTAATTCACAACTAACAATACATTGATGCATGCCCATTGACATTACAGCAAATTTGAAACATTTCATAGAAAAGATGTACCAAAAAAAAAAAAAACCAAATGAATGAAAAAATTGAAAACCGTAATGAAATTAAAAAAAATTTAATTAGTGAAGCATCAATTGCTATAAATTAAATTAGTCAAAAGTTATGGAAGTAAAAATGAATTAAAGACAATAAAAATAGAATTTTTTTTTTATTTTTTTGGTTCACTTTTTAACATACATAGAGACGTACGTATGTACATATATGAATGTACGCATGTTATGGGTTATGGGTTTGTGAAGTTGGAGCATGATTCTTTTCAAATATCATATTTGATACCCTCCCCATAAAAATATACATACATATTTCAACTTGGTTCAACATTTGTATAAGAAAAAGCAATGCAGAGTGCAACATAAAAATTAATAAAATTAAAATCAAAGTTATATACATAGTTACATATTTAGAGTCATGGTGAAAACAAAAGTTATCCAAAGAATAAATAAATATTGGGTAGCATACTCAGTGTAACCATGTACTCAATGTGAAATTCATTCTTAACAGTGATGATGCATTTTATTTGGAATATAAGAATTATGATATATATAACAAATGTTATGAATTTCCTTGAGTATGCTTTAAATTTTGACATTATCTCAACAAACAGAAATTCAGCTAACGAATCAGTTACTCTAGTGTAAAACAATATTTTCGAAGTCGACATAAAATAATTAGTAAACCTTTTTTATACTTGAAAATTTTTATTCCAATTGATGATCTTTAACTTTTGGTAAGCGGTTCAATAAAGCATTTATAGCATGTTTTAAATAACAAAAGTTAGATAATTCTAACGATTAGTAATTTCAAGTTACGTTGTTCTTAACATTTAATTTAGGAAAATTTATTTTGTCTTCTATTTTAATTATTTTCTTTTCAAATAAATGCAAATTATGAATCACGTAATTTTTGATCTTTAAAGTTCAACTAGAAAAAAAAAAAGATTTTTTTTTAATGAAAATTAAGTTTCATTAATTAAACTAAAAAACATGAATTTCAAAGCAAATTCAAATTTTTTTAATATTCTTGTATACTATAAACAAATAAAAGGAAATACTAATAAATAAAGCACATTTATATCTCAAAACACAGATAGTATGTTAATTATTTACGTTTAGTTTTAGAAGTTTGACCTTTTGCTCAAAATATTGGAGTGAATTGATTCAGATAATCGTGTTACGTATAAGTTAACGTAGTTTACATTTAATAGTTAATTGTAATGATAATTTTGTTTATTTGGAAATTTTGTATGCTAATTATGAACAAGATGCATATATGAAAACATATAATTAAGTTTGATTTAATGCCCTGAAATATAAGCTGAAGATGTACAGAGGAAATGATAAAAATAACGTAAGCCATCTTGAAGAAGTTTACTATAATATATGTATACTTTAATAAAAAATTAATAAATTTTCGTCAATGTATTGATATTAAAATAACTTACCATTAGAAGATCTGGTTCACTGTAAGTTCCATCAATGAAATGGCTTTCAAACTTATCATTTTCAACTGCCTTTTTAATATCCTGTAGGCTTCCCCAAATTTCAAAGCTTTCTTGAACGTGTTTCGAAATTCCATTACCACTTTTTCTACTGAAATTAATTAAATTATCTATTACACTAGTTTTTTGAAAATCGGAAAAATTTTCTCTTTCATTCTTCTTTCTGGCTTCTGAATTTTTTATATATTTTGGATCTTTCTCTATTTTTGTTTTACTCTCGTTATTTTCAGGATATGAAGTTTTTCTAGTTCTTCTTATTGGTTTTCCCGGTGGCAGAAATACGTGCTCGGTAATTTTCTTTTTCTGAATCGGACTTTGAAATTGGACTTTAATCTTATTGCTCGATAAAATTGATATATCGTCCATTGACATTTGCAAGTTTTTTTTCTTTTGAAATGTAACTGGTTCATCACGTTCAATAGACGATAAAACATCATCACATGATTTTGTTGTCAATAATTTGGATTTATTTTTATTTTTATTAGATGCTGAGATTGAAGCATTTGCTAAAGCTTCTGAAAGAACTGATGCTGCCAACAATACTTTTTGATCGGGTCGCATATTAACACGTTTACTAAATTCATTCAACTTATATTGTAATTGATTAGTATTAGGGAATGTTGGTGGTAATTGAATTTTTTCAGGACTTGTTTGCAAACTACTGCTGCCGCTGCTACATTGACCAATGTTATGGCAAATACCAGATGGCCTAGATAAAACTGGAATCGTTCTATTGTTTAATATGATATTTGGAAAATCGACTACTAAAATTCTATCAGATATATTAGCGCAATCATTATGAAAACCAATTCCAGAATCTGAATTTGATGATGTAGTGGTTACTTCGCTGTGATTACTTGGTTGAGGAGAATTTGCTGACGGTTCTTGGTTAAAACGCTTACCGGAGTTACCGTTAATACCTTGTGAATGGAAATTACGTATGGGAAATGGCATCGTTTTCATTGTGTACATACTTCTTATTAAATTTACAACATATTCTGAATTATTTGGAAATTCTAGGCACAAGTTTGATATAGGGTCTTTCGTACATACAATTTGAAATTCAATTGCTTTATGTTCATGAACACTGTGTTCACATATTTTTGTATCAATGACAAATACATGGCAGCTGTTAGAAATTGTAATTTCTTTCGGTTGTAATTGATTATTGATTATACCACCGACTGCACCTTCATCTTCATTCTCATTGTGAGTATGGAATGCGCTTGTGACTAAACCAAAAAATCGATTTTCGCTTTCTGAAGAGCTTGTTACATATGTGAGCCGAGATGCTGGAAACGCTGCCAATATTACAGAGTTAGAATTTTTCAATGTTAGACAATTTGGTAATATTGTCATAAGAACAGTACTTGGACTTCTCTTCTCACGCTGAAGTTTTCTTATACAACTTCGGACAGTTTGTAATTTAGTACTAGTAGTTATTTGCCTAGGCATTTCTATAGTTCCCATATATCCAACGATTGCACGGTACTCTAAAGGTGATATTGCATTATCGTCTTGTAAACAAATATTTGAACTTTCAAATTCAACAGTTTTCCGAATAGCCGCGTTTATATTAATTTGTTCTTTTGAAGTACTAGCTTTGGGAGATAGTAAACATGTCACTGGACTTTTTACATTGGAATGTTTTTTAATAATATCAACATTAATATTGACTGGAGCTTGATTTTCAGACATATTAATTTGATTTTGCCGTATACAATTGTCATCAGCGTAATTTTGTTTTAAAATTTTTGTTTCTTCTCTCCATAAATTTGGTTTTTGGGATGATGGCACGTTTTTTATTCGATTCATTTTATGTCTGTGTTGTATATATCTGGGTTTTACTCGATTTATATGCCCAATAGATATTTCTTCTTCTGAGCTGTCTGAGAAATAGTTTTCAGCTATTTGGAGTCGAATTGTTCCAAATGAATTTCCGATGGCTTGTGCAACTGCTTCATGCGGCAATTTAGACACATTAGTACCATTTACTGATATTAAAAAATCTCCAGCTTTGAGCCCAGCCTAAAATAATGAAATTCATTAAAACATATATTAACAAATTTTATATGTATTAGGTTTATACACATTAATGCATGTTTTTTTTTTTAATTTATTTAAAAATAATATTACCTGATCAGCTGGTGAATTTTCCACAATACACGACAAAATACAAGGCTTCTGACCTAAAAATTAAAAAAAAAACATCTAAAATCTACTTTAAACATTTATGTATGTACAACATATGAAAATGAAATGAAAAGATCAGATCTCACATGCCCAAGGCATTTGGGTAATAACTATTTAAAATTTAGCTTAATAGTGTAGGCGTCTTATGAGCATATATGATATTGATTTGAACTTATATTAAGATACATTAAAAAACTTCATAGCAAGGTCGTTGTTAAGTTATTTTTCTCAAGTTTTAATACTGGTTTTGAGTCTGATTTGAGTTTTTAAAAATAAATGAAAAAGAAACCTAACAATTTCTGTAGGTGCTACACTCTTTTTTTTCTTCACTTACCAGATATGGTGAAACCAAACCCATTACAGCCTCTTGACACTTCAACTGTGCGTGTATTATAATTGGGACGTTTTTTTCGTCTTCTATGATGGTGATGCATGTTATAATTTTAACATGAATTAAACTTCAAACAATTCTTGTTAGTTTAAAATTATAATTTTTTAGTTATTTGATATAAATGGAATATGTAAAATATTTCGAAGTCGTGTAAAGTTTTAAATGTTAGCAAAAAACTTGTTTTCGCGTCTGTGGAATGTTGAATTTTGCAAAAGATAGTTCTAAGTGCATACTATTAAACTTCAATTAAATAGTTTAATGAAAATAAATTTAATTTTTTTTAAATAAGAAATCCATTGTTTTATTTATTTTTATTAATTTTTACAAAAAAAAATCATTTTAAAACCAATTAGTTTACAAAACAAAAACTTCTTTGTATTTTAACTGACAATTAAGAACTGACGTCAAAATGTCAAAATCAAAAATTTTTGTTTATTTTTAACAATTTTTTGGCGTATTGTACTTAAATATTTTGCAGCGGCGCATTTTATACAGCACTAGTATTGCCATAACTAGAAATTTATCTGAGAATTTTTATATAAGAAGGAATGAAGTAATTTTTTTCAAACTTCAATTGCCATTATTTATTTTCAGAAGGCTTTATATCCTATTTTACCAAAAGTTTTGTTTAGATATATTTGGTTTTACAAAAAGCAATTTTAGTTAACTTTTTCATTTATCAAAAACATCTAAAGTGTAAACTGAATGAAATTTCTTTTTTACTTTGATTTTCATGCTGATCAGATTTATATGGTTACTTTTTATATGTTTGTGGAAATGTTTTCTTCTTTTTAAACGTAAGATTGAACGTTTTTGACTTTTCTTCATTTGACAGTTTTTAAATATTTGAAAAGTATGTCAAAAAAATTGATATAATTTCTGATTAATAATCAATGAAACTGGTTTAATTTAATATATAATTATATTATATAGATATGCTTTGGCAACAATAATGTCAAAACAAACAAGCGAAAATTTTTCGAAGTAAAAATAAATAATTTTTGGTAAAGTCACAATTGTATTTCATACTTAACACAAAAATAAACAAACAAGAAAATAAAACGCACCGTTTTGTCCAATGCAATAACAAAATGGTTTTCTATGCAGTTCTGATTTACAACTGCAATTGCGAACTTAACAATACTTAACAGTTTGAAATATTTTTTTTGATTTTGAGAAACAGCAATATTTTATATGAACTTTAAGTAAAAAAGTAAAAACTGTTTAAATATTGTAGATACCACATTCATGTATACATAAAATATGAAAAAGACAAAAGATCAACATTGGTCTTTCCCAAAGTTGAAACGCGGGTAATAAAGTTTTAGTGAACTTTCCTCATTCTAACGTTATAGAGCTTCTCAAGAACTCTTTTTCCTCACTTTTTGGAATTTTAGATCTTGCAGGATCGATTTTTAAAAAAGTCGTTAAATAATAGCGATTTACGAGACCTTTTCAATGGTTTTAAGTCAATTGTTTCAATTAAGTTGAAAACATACAATGAGCGACTTTTCGCAACGAAATGTTAGAATTTATATGGAACACACATTTTTAAATGGGACTGCCCAGGATCAATTAAAACTACTGGTGTGAATGTAACCGCCTTTGGTGAACTAGCTTAAATTCCTATTGTACCGCTAATAGCCTAATTCCTATTACACATGGAAACATAGTTTCCATGTGTGTGTAACATTATATGCAAAATACTATTATTGTCTTTTCCGTTCCGCTTTTTCTGGGTTAACGACGGAAATCATACGTCGTCGTCGTTAACGGTTTTGATTACGTTTTTGCAATTACGCTACTTGATATTTATATTTCTTCTTCATTATTTGTTTTCCGGTCAACATTTACAACCAAATGTACTAAATAATTTACAAACAAATGTACCAAAGAACATTTTACAAATTTTACACAAAATGAAAAAGCCATTCAATATTTTAATGTTTTTGTATCATGTGTGCACGTTTATTTTATTTACTACTTTTGTTATAGATAACCAGTGTAAAAAAATGAAATTTTGACAGCATATACTGGCTTATCTCAAACTATATAAAACTTTCACACAAAGTTTTTTCTTTACTTTGGCACTACTTATTGCATTCTTCGAGATTATGCATCAACTAACAATTGAAAATCAATTCTTTTTAATGAAGTCTATTTATTTATGTTAACTTAAAAAATTACAAAACTTATAAGAATAATTTTTTTTATAAATTTTTATTTTTTTTATTTATTAAATTTATAACTGTTGAATTATTAGCATTTTCGAAATTAATTAAAAAAGCTTTGAGATCATTGAAATAATAAAAACAACGTGAAAATAATACTGTAATAAGGAGCTGCTTATGTGTATGCATATTTAATTTATTTTTAAAATACAATACAATTTAATCTTACAATATTATTCAATTAGAAACTTGTGTTCAAAGAAGTTTTTTAGATCTCAAGTATAGCAAATAGATATAATATAGAAAAATGACTAAAACCAAGTCCTCGGTAGTATAGTGGTCAGTATCCCCGCCTGTCACGCGGGAGACCGGGGTTCGATTCCCCGCCGGGGAGGATATTTTTTTATTTGAACAGAAAAAGAAATTATATATTTTTTCAATATGATAGTAATGAAATTTAATCATATTTGATTAAAATATTGTGCATATGTTTAGGCGATATTTATTTGGTGTTTCTTATTTTCAGTAGCTGAAATAATTATACTTCATAAGTTATTAATACAAAATCAGTGAACATTAGGTCTAAATTTATATCAAAATTCAATATAAAAAGAAATTCAACATAAAAATGTATGTATGTATGAATATATTTATAGAATTACCAGATATCTTGCACTGCAATAATCGTCGAAATGCTTATTTATCTCTAATAAATATTGTATCTGTATGTATTTTCATAAGTTGTTATTTGATATACGATTGTGTATTTGTTATTTTTATAATTATCATATTATCGATTATCATATTAATATACGATAATATATGCGTGTATTTATTACACCTCTTAACAATTTTATTATGAAGTTGAATTTTATGTAAGATTGAAAAGTTCGCATGTTTAAAAAATGTATGAAATATTTTTTATTTTAAATTTTAAAATTAACTTTGTCTTAAAAATAAATTTTTTTAACTTTGTCGCAAAAATGAAAAATTTTTATTTAGTGAAATTTATTTATATAATAAAGTCATGTTACACTATTTTCAGAGTATGAACAAAACGCGTAAACCATGTTCAATAGAAATAAATAGCTATTCAAAGTAGAGTAAAATTTGTGAGAAGTAGGAAAAATTGATACCATATTCTAAAACGCTGTTAGAAAGAAACTTTTTTTAGCGGTTTAATTTCTTCATCATAAATATGGTTCACATCTGGTTCGGTGTTTATACGAGTATTAAGCTATGAAATGAAAATAGAAAAAAAATTTATATAAATTTGTGAACAAAATTCTAAAATTTAATTTATTGTGAAGATAACAAAAATAATAATTTTTTGCTTATAAATCCTTAGGGATATAAGCATCGGTGGTTCAGTGGTAGAATGCTCGCCTGCCACGCGGGCGGCCCGGGTTCGATTCCCGGCCGATGCAGCACTTATTTTTTTTGGAAAAAATTGCATTTAAATCTATAACATAAAAAAATTAGCTTGCGCACTATAATAAAGTTTTATTTTTATTATTTATAATACACTCATCCCTCGCATTACGGAACTAATATGTTCCAGAAATGTTGTCCGTAAATTGAAATTCCGTAAATCGAATCTTTTTTCTTACATTACGTTACAATCACATAATTTTTTACCTAAATTTATATAGGTACACATATTTTGTTTTAATATGCAAAAAATATATTAGGATTTTATTATTATTACAACATTAGACAACAAGAATCAAAAAGAAACTTTAATTCTTTGAAAAAAAACCAATTACATATACGAGTACATACATACATAAATTCTTTGCATTATTTTGATCTGATCTCTGTTTCATATAAAACATTACAGTATACATATACATACATAATCACAATGGTTTTTACGGAGCTAGGTAATATTTAACATATGTACATATATGTATGTATTTTTAAACAAAAAAATTTCTAGATATATATTTTTTTTTTACAAAAATTGTAATTTTTTAGACTTTTTTTTTGTTTGCATTTTAAAAATTTTCCGTAAATCGAATTTTTTTCCGTAAAAAGAGACTATTTTCCAATTTTTGAATTCCGTGAAACCGAAATTCCACATAGAGAGCTTACGTTAAGCGAGGGATGAGTGTAGATATTTCTAAGTCTTACAAGTTTACACGAACATACACTTACATATGTATATGCATATGGCCCTATTTTTTATTCATTGTCTAAAATTAGTTAATGAAATTCTGCTGTTCATATTTTATTCCTTTTTGTAAGTGGCAAAATCACATTTTATCAACTCATCTTGGTATTAATTAACACATCCGATAATGATAAAATCAATTAATAAACTGTAATTTTTAAGTATTCATGTTTTGTCTTAATACATTTTATGATTATAAATTCAATTAATTATGAGATATTAGACAATAGTATTTGAGAAAATGTTATAGGTATTAGTAAATATTGTATTTCTATGTATGTATTTATATCGATAAAAATTTGAATAAAATTAATCTATATAAATTTCAAATTCATTCATTTCATGTTAGTGTAGAATGCCGGTTTGTTATAAAAATTTTACAGTTATAAGTATGGTTCTTCTCATCGATTAGGAATTCCGGTTTCTGATAGAAATCTTGTAGTTATAAGTATAGTTCTTTTGCTACTCATATAAGTAGAAAATTAATTCCTACACCGGATTTGTATTAATTCTTCTCAAGTGCTTAATTTTACTTGAAGGGAAAAGTAATGTTTTTTTATGTTTGACGGATGTTGTACATATATGACCAGAATCAGCTGATTTATACTTTTTGCTGTCAACTTGATGCAATCTCGAAAATTTGTATTTGAAATCAAATAAATTTTATTATTTTTGACAAAGAAAGCCAAATTTTTTACAAATTTTTTATGTGTGCAACACTATGTAATCTTTTTTATTTCAA